GCTGGCTGGGATGCAGGGTGAGGAGATGAAGAAAAAGGGAGGGAGGTCACTCAGGATGATTGCTGAGTGGAAACTAGAGGCCAGATGAATTGCTGACATGTTATTTACTTGCAGAACTTTTCAAATACAAAAAGAAATGATTAAAGAAAAATAAGTGGATTCCTTGTTTCTTAATAGTCTTTCATTTGAACTTACTTAGAAGCATGTTTTCAATGCCAAACACTCTTTTACAGGCATACCCATTTCTGGTTCCTTTAAAAAATACATTTCTCATTTGCTGATCTGATTACGTTGCCAGAGGCTGCTGCAGCTTTGCTCTGCTCTTAACTGCAGAGACACACATGCCGGAGATAAAACCATGTGCATATTAGTAGTGATGGAAGACAATTTGAGCCCAGTATTGCTTGTATTAAAACCGAAACAAGCTGTAAGCTTTAACTATTCCCAAGACTACTGCACCATGTTTAGTAAGGGCAAATAAGCACCTTTATTAACAGGTTTATTGTGTTTATCTGTTTAGAAAAGAGAAATAAACAGTGGAAAGTAACAAATAAGATTTTCTTGGTCCTGAATTGCATCCTTAGATGAGCATTACACTGACTTCATGGCAGGAGCAGGCTCTTTGTCAGTTACTCTGCTGGCTTTTGTGAGTACCACAGAAAAAGTATGCCTAAAAGTGAATTCCTTTACGTTAGGTTGCACATTCATTTGTGATGCTGTAAAATGAGAAATACAAAGCTATTTAGAGAAATTGAATGTTATCAGTTTATTAACTGATAACTTATTAAAGTTTATTAAAGCTGATTAACAGAGTCAGACAAGAAGTCCTACAGCAAGGTGAAGGCACACGAGTTTGCAAGTTGATAAAAAGCCCAATGGCTTCTGGAATAGGTGAACAAGACATCCTTTAGGGAAATGGGGTCGTGTTGGTTTGCTTGGCAGCTCTGGGAGAGCGTGAAACACAGGTATCCCAACAGATGTGCACAGTGCTAGCTGGCAAAGAACTAGGCATGGCTGGTTTCATGAAAAGGCAAAACTCTTGGCATGTGCCACCTGCATTTGGGTCTCGGCAGCACCGTTCCCAAATGGTGGCCCCTCTCTCAGGTGCCCCCTGAGCGCTGCCAAGCCTCAGCGCACCTGATTTGCACCCCGGTGCGCACAACAGATTTTAGGATGGCGACTTGCAGACATGGACTTTCACGGGGATTAGGTTTATCCCCGCACCTCTACAAGCGGTGGCACACAGCCACACTTTGATCCGGCCATCTAGGGTCCCCCACGGCCAGGCCAGAGCCCTGCACCCCCTGCCCGCTCCCAGACCGGGCAGGGAGGGAGGCAGCAGCCGTCGGGGCTGCGGGGAGAGGGGCGGGAAGAAGACGAGAGGGAGGGCACTCGAGCGTGCAGGCACGACACGGGGATTAATTGTTTTTGGCCCATTCCCGGCTCCGAGGGCCAAAACAAATGCCCTCCCTCGCACGGCGGTGGCAGTCCTCTTGGGTTTCCCTGATGAGTCACTCCGGAGAGGCATTCCCCGAGAAAAAAAAAAAAAAAAAAAAATAGAAAAGGCTTTACCCGAAACTGAGATAAGGCTACCTCTAAACGCTCCGCAGCGGTGCCCTCGGCTGGCACCGCTCCCGCCGCGGTGCTGCCGGCGGGCATCCCGGGGCACTTTCCCTGACGGAAAGAAGGACCAGGACCAATCCCACCCCCCAAAAGCAGAAAACACCTGCACGGGCTGCCCGCCCCTCTCCCCGACCCGGGTCCCGAGCCCGCCGGGTGCACCCGGGGGCGCGCATCCCGCAGCCTGCGAGGGAGAAAGGTCTCCTCGGGGGAGGCGGCTGGGAAGGGAGAAATTGGGAAAAGGGCTAGGACAGAGGAGGAACAGGGCCAGGCAAGACGGGGAAAAGCTCTAGGCGAGACGGGGAAACGAGCGCTCGCCAGCATCGCGAAGCGATGCGCTGAAACGTGCCGCCGGGAGCACATCGCGGCGGGCTGAGCGCCTGCCCCGGGCGGTCCCCCCGCGTCGTGTGTCGCTTGAGCGACAATATCGCGACAGCCAGCCCTGGAGGTGGGCTCCTCGCTGCTGCTGGCGGCGTTGTCCCCACTCGTTTCGGGCGGGACCGGCTGCTGTGGAGTGGTTTTTTTTTTTGTTTTGTTTTGTTTTGTTTTTTTTCGCTTTGGTTTGTTTGGGTTAGGATTTAGATGCTGCGGTCGGTTGTTATTTATTATCCCGTGTTTCTTTTCGGATCGGTGACACAGCTTCGAGTCTGAATATTTATTATTTAGGGTTCTGGAAAGAGGTGCATGAGACGTCCCAATGAGCCCCGGTTATGGAATTGGAAACCATCATTTCCGTAGGCGTACAGGTACATATATGAAGCCAGCAACGATCTGAAGCCCAGCAGGAGAAAAACAACGTGTAAAGACACCATGGATAATCACAAGGGTAACCAACCAGTTTTTCTAGTGCTCCTGAGGCACCGGCATCCCTCTCTTCAGATCTGTCCTCCGTGCCCTGTCGGGTCACGTAGCGGTGCAGGAGAATTAACCTCTGGCTTTTTCTTACGCAGTCTTTTGTGGCTTCATCATCTTTCTTCAGATCGCCGACTTATCGCGGGAGTCCGCCTACAATTTCAGCCTCTGTAACCACGACGAGATACGAGAGGATCTCCTAAACGTTTTGGATGGGCACATGGGCTTAAACGAGGTTGGTGGTTTCTCTGGTGCCATCGGAGGGAAACTCGGGACGGCACTGCCTCCACGATTTTATCCTTGACCGCCGGCAGCTACTTTCTGAAAATCCCGATTAGCAAGCCGGGAGTTGGCTAGTTTAGTAAGCCGGTGCATGTGAACAGGACGGGGAAATTATCTCCTACTCTCCTCCTCCTCCGGCGACCTCCCTAAAAGTGTGCGCTGAAGCTGGGACTGGCAGGGACGGAGAGCAGGAGCCCGGGCGGCTGCTGCCAGAGCGCTACCTGACCCTTCCCGGCGCCTTGCAGACCCCTAGGACTGAAAAGCCGCTTGTGCATTACCGCGCCGACGGCGAAGACGGTTTCACGGTCGCAAAGGTGATCAGCGGTTTAGAAAAGCCTCGCGGATCGTTTGCGCGCACAGACAGCGCTTAGCAAGGAGACCAGGCTGCGGCAATGCGGGAGGAGAGCGGGATCCCGGCACCGAGCCCGGCACCGAGCCCGGCACCGAGCCCGGCGGCACCGCCTGCCCCCGCCGCCCCACTCCGCTCCCACGGCGGCCCCGGGGTGCGGGCTCCCGCCGTCGAGGGGCGGCGGCGTTAAGGGGCACCCCCCGTTTTGTTGTCTCCCTCCAGGGGCTACAGCTCGATTTTCACACCTGCGAGGACACGCCCGAGAGGCCGGAGCAGTCCGAGGTTCGCCAGGGTGAACGCAGCCCCCCCGACGGCTAGGTGGCATTCCCTTTCCGTGAAAAAAAAAAAAAAAAAAGGCGAAAGCACACCAGAAAAAAAAATAATGGGGGGGGGGGGGTGGGGGGGAGAGGGAATGGGGGAGAGAGAGGATGGGGGAAAGGGCATCAAGGGGGGGGGAGAAGGGGGGAAAAAAGGGAGGGGAAGAAAGGGAAGGGAAGAAAGGGAAGGGAAGAAAGGGAAGGGATGAAAGGAATGGGATGAAAGGAATGGGAAAATGGGGAAGGGGAAAGAGAGAGAGGAAAAAGGAAGAAGGAAGGGGGGAGAAGAAAGGAGGGAGAATGAAGGGGGGAAGAAAAAGGGTAGGGGGAAAGAGGAGGAAGGAAAGGGGAGGGAGAAAATGGGGGGGAAGAAAGTGAGGGGAAGAAAGAGGGGAGAGTAAGGGGGGCAGGAAGGGGGCAGAAGGAATGGGGGAGAAGGAACGGGGGAGAATAAGAGGGCGAGAAAAGGGGAAGAAGAAAGAGTGGAGAAGGGGAGAACGAGGGGCCGAAAGAGGGAGGAGAGGGCGGGGACGGGGAGCAGGGGGGGGACACGAGGGCGCTGCGCGGGGAGGCGCCGGCGGGGCAGGGCGGGCGGCTCGACGGCTCGACGGCTGCTCGCTGCCGCCTCGCCGGGGCTCGGTGCCCGCTGCCCGGTGCCCGGTGCCCGGTACCTGGTGCCCGGTGCCCGGAGCGGCCGCTGAGAGCCGTGTGCCCGCAGGAGCGGCTGCGGGCGCAGCGGGAGGGCCGCCTGCTGCAGTGCGTCCTCGACGGGGCGCGGGGCTGCGGCGGCCGGGGGCTGTGGCCCAGCACGCTGCGGGTGGTGCAGCGCAACTGCCGCGGGTACCGCCCGCCTCAGGTGGGTGCCGGGGGCCCGGGATGGGCTGAACCGAGCCGGGCTGAGCCGAGCCGGGCTGTGCTGAGCCGGGCTGTGCCGGGCTGTGCTGTGCTGCAGGGGTGGCGGCGAGGAACGGCGGCGCCCCGGGAAGCCGTGGCCGGAGGAGGGCTGTGCGACGAGGGCAAGGTGCGGGAGCTGCTGGCCGTGTGGAGGAGCTACATGAACCTGGCGTAGGCAGCGCCACTTAAAAAAAAAAAAAGAAAAAAGTTTAATTTTTTTAACTTTTTTTTTTTTTTCAAAGTATGTGTATTTTTATTTTTTATTTTAATGTACGTGTGTCCTTTTTTACGTTTTCTTATTGTTATTTTTTCGTTTTCCTCTCCCTCCCGACCTACTATTTATTGCTATGCACCCCCCGCACCGACCCTCCCCTCTCCCCTCCCTTCCCCTCTTTCATCTTTTTTAATTTATTAACGAGAGACACACGCACACACACACAGGCGCACACCGCCCCACCCTCCTCACCACGCCTTTTTTTTTTTTTTTATCAGAATTAAACGCCTTTTTTCCCACCACCCGCCCCGCGGCCCCGGTGTGTGTCTCTGAGTCGGGGGGGGGGGGGGGGGGGGGGGGGGGGGGGGGGGGGGGTTTAGGGGCGGAACTCATCTCCCGCAGCCGCGGCGCGCCGGGGAGCGCTTTGCGCGTGGCACGGCCCGGCGCCCCGCGTGCCCGGCCGGAAGCTTGGGGACGCTTCCTGGCGGCCAGCGGCGGGCGCGTGCGGCAGATGGCGGCGGGCGGCGGGGGCGGCGGGGGCGGCGGCGGGGGGCTCTTCGCCGGCTTCCGCGCCCTCGGCCGCTACTCGGGACACGTCCCGCACGTCCTGCGCTACCACGGCCGGCACCGCGAGTTCTACGTGGCCACGGCCGTGGGGCGCAGCGTGCACACCTACAACGTGAGTGCGGCGCCGGGGGGGCGGCGGCGGGACCGGGGGGGGGGGGAGGCCGGGCCGGGCCGGGCCGGGCCGGGCCGCCCGCTGAGGCGTCGCCCCGCCGGGCTCCGCGCCTGCAGGGGCCTGCCCGTGGCTCTGCGGGCCCCCTCTCTGCTTTTTGTCACTGTAAAACCTCGTTTTTTGTCACTATAAAGCCTCTTCTTGCCACTTTAAAAGCATTTTCGGTAAATCAGGCTTTATGGCAGCTTCCCAGTGGTAGCTTTTGTCCGTCATGAGCTGAGGCAAATTAATAACATCAGGTGGTTGTGGTGGAAATGATGTAAAACCAGAGGTGAGGTGAGCACCAGCCTCCCCAGGCCTTGCAGGTTATCTAAGCATGTGCTTAGCTTCACGTGCATTAAGGTAAAAGCCTCCCAGATTGGTGTCTCTCAGCACACATTGTCCCCTCCCTTCTGATCTGCTGTCTGAGGGTCCCCGTGTAGATGCTGCTTTAAGATAAAGTAAATACGGTGTTCTTTCACGCGAGGCATGCCAATTCCTAGTTGCAGCTCGGCTGGCTCCTCGGCTGTTGAATTTCTGTTTGCTGCAGATTCAGTTTGACATCGCTAAAAATGCCATTTTAATGTCTTTTTTTGCAGGTGAAGAAGCTCGGGATCGTTGCTGTCAGTAAGTATGCACAGATCGTTCATTCTTCTTTCCTGAACTATAGCTGCACCCAGGTCTCAAAAGGGGAAAATGGGTGCTGAAGGTGTCCCTGGAAGAGTGGATCTCAATTTAGAAACAGGGTGCTGTTACGACTGTCATTTAATTCTCTAACCCGGTGAGCCTCCTGTTTTTGTCACCGTGTTCATCCAGAAGCAGCTATAGGCATTAAAGGAATGAGCAGGGGTCAGAGTTCACTTTTTGATCACTTTTTGTTGTCTTTATGGCTACTAGAAGGTAGCCATAAGGCTACCACTGTAGGCCTTGGCCACCATAAAGGAGGTAGCCAAGTCCTTCCGTACAGAAGGTAGATGTATAATTGCAGGATCAGAGCTGCTGTAGATGGTGCTAAAAGTCCCCATGGCATTAAAAGATTGTCTGGACTGCTGGGGACAAAGGGTGTGAATCAATGGCTTGACATCCAGTTTGGTGCCAGTAATGTGACAAAGCACCCTTGTTGTCAGTGGCATGTCCCCGTGTTGTTCAGTGCCCTCATCAGCATCCTGAGGTTCAGTCCATGGAGGTGTTGCAAAATACCTGGGCTGGGCCCACAGAAACCCTGCAGTGTTTGTGAAGGGCAAGCAGAGGATTCTGCACCTGGGACAGCACAACAAGCCGGGAACTGACTGCCTGCATGGCACCCTGCTGGAAAGTAGCTCAGGTGGTGCTGCTGCCAGGCTGAACGTGGGCCAGCGATGGAGTCACCATCAGTAAAAACAACCCCTATTCTGAGCTATGCTAGGAAGGCAGCCAGCTGCACAGGGAAGGCTGCTCTTGCCCTGTGCTTAGCTCTGGTGAGACCACACCTGGACTGCAACACCCAGCTCATGTGTTTTCGTCCTACAGCTCTCCCTTTTCCTTCAGGAGGGATGCTGAGGAACATGACCCAAGAAGGGGCATTGAAGTAAATAAATCTGCTTTGTCTGGTGAGGGATAAAATGCAAGGAGACCAAGAACTACCCTATTACCTGAAAGGTAGTTACAAAGACATCGGTTGGATTTGTGGTGGGTAGTATTAGACAGCGTAACAAGGGGCAATAGGCACAGATTGCTTCAAAAGGTCAGACTGGAGGTTAGGAAAAATGTCTGTGACTAAAAGAAAACTGTAGTACAGCATCAATATCGAGAGATTCCCTTCCACAGAAGTTTTCAACCCTCAACTGGTCATCGTTGCAGTTAACCTGAGTGGTGATAGTCCAGCGTTGGGAAGAGCTGAGCAGGAGGGTGAACTAGATGGCTTCCAAAGATCCCATCCAGCCAACAGTTAGATGATTCAGTGACACAAATGCTGTAGACCACAAAGTTCTCACACAGATTTCATAAAGCCAAATATTGTTCAGTAATAGTTGACCCCATAATTTGGAGAACTGCCCGTCACAAAGCTGCGACTAGATTTAGAAGCAGTGAACACTTGCAGCTATAAGCAAATAAGTGTAACTTCTGTTTTTCAATTGCATAGCCTGTGAAATCTTTTTCAGTGGGCTGTGCCTTCTAATAGACATAGTCATTTAAGCTTTTTCTGAGACTGTGATATTAAAATACAAATCCAGGTATATTAAAATACAGAATTGTGATTGAGAAAATAAATGATGTGCATCTCTGTGTGCTGGTGTTGGTTTATTGACGTTTTGTGGTTGGTGCTCTGAACTTTTTCAAGAGGGTTTGTCTAAAACAGTCTTGGTCTAAGCAGCCTGGCTCACAGCCTACGTGGAGTACCAGATTTCTGTAACCTGATGACATTCCTAAGTCACTTCAGAGGTATTGTGGGAAGTTGTCTAGCGTTGTTCAAACAAATGAAACCTCTTACAGAATGCAACCAACCTTGTTTCTTTTCTTAATACTTCCCGTTAAAGTCTTGTAGCAGTACAGCTAAGTTCAAGATTCCTTGTGTGTGATAATAATTTATAGTACAAAGCAACATTGGCAGAAGGGATGCTACATGATCGCATAATTCACCTGCATCACAGGCAAACTCCTCTGGTGACTGATTTTTAATCTGGAGTTTCTCTTTAGATTTGGGAAGTGCTGCAATTTGTGATCCATGTTTCTCTGTTTCAACAGACTTGAGAATATTTTTCTGTAGAATATTTTTTTCAGGCTTCTAGCAAGTAGAACCACAACAGCTTCCTCTCAGTGGTGTTTGGAGCTTAAGCTTTTTTTTTTTTTTTTCTTTGAGCTTGTAAAGTAGTTGATCACAATCCTCAATACTCTTTCAGAACCAGTCAGTAGGTGGGAAGCGAGATACATTCTTAAAGCAGTAAATTGTCTGTCTCTTCAGCTGTGATTAGGATAACCAGATGCAGGAGTGGGTCACTGGCTTCTGTAAACCAGCAAGTTTGCAGAAGACTAAAACTAATAGGCATTGCTATCTCTGAGCTTTTGGTTTATTATGTTTACAGTCCAGTAGGCTGTGGGCTCTGACAATCTGTAGAAATGTTATTTTGTAAACTTTGAAGAAGCCAACATGTGCCTTTACTTGCAGTGATAATGCAGTAATTAATGAATTGCTGTCTTTTCAAAGAACCACATTGTGATTTATCAGTGTAGCACTTATCTTGTTACCAACCGTGATATGCACCGTGGTACTTGCATTCATCTGAAATTAATGTGTTCTTACAGAAATGCATACAAGAGAATGGTTTTATTGGTATGTCACCATGCTAAACAGACACGTTGTCAGACTTTATCTTTTGTTATGGATATGAAATCTGTTTAACTTTTCTGTTTGATTAACAGGCAATGCTTTGCTTCAAGACATCACTTGTTTGGCAGCGGACCGAATGTTGATATTTGCTTCATATGGTGACGTTTTCCATGCCGTTGCCAGGAACAAAGAGGTTTTTATCAGTTTACTTATTAATTAGTACTACAAAACAGTTGTGTAGTGTTTGTCTTCCAGATAGTTGGTTCTCTACAGGCTTGTACTTCCGTAGCTGTTAATTACCTTCAATTCTAGAAAAGCTGTTTTACTATAGAAGGGGCAGCATAAAACAGGAGGGTATAAGAACAGCTTTGGTGATGTCTGACCCATTTTTTATGCGTTAATTGTAATAGTTAAATAAGTACTTAAAAATCAATTTGTTGTTAATTCGTGTATAGATGATTAAACTAAATAAAGTATTACGTTAACGTGCTATGCTACTCAAACGGTTTGCATTGAAAACTTTTCTACTTCGAAATTACAGGTAGTTCATACCTATAAAGGTCACAAGGCAAGAATACACCTTCTGCAGCCTTTTGGTGATCATGTCATCTCTGTGGATGTTGCTAATGTTCTTATTGTTTGGGACATACAGTCAGAAGGTGAGAGACACTTTTTGTTATTGCTACTGTTCTGTGGAATAGCACTGTTAAACACTCAGTCATTTGTAAGAAGTATTTTAAGCACACATGTTAGGAAGTTTTTTATTCTTTGAAAAAAAAAAAAATCCTTATATAATGGTTTTACCGAAACAGTAACTTGAGGTCATCATTCAGCAATAATTTGTCATGAACTGATTCTGCACCACGTGCAGATACTCTGTAATGTTTTGTGTAGGTGTAAAGAAATCTTGCAGATAAATCACATATTAATGTTCCATTCTTTGGGGTAAAGACTGTGATACAGCAACTCTGTCAGCATCTCCTAAATCCTATAATTCCTTGATGTTTATCAGTCTGTGTAAGAGTAAGTTTTAATTAATAATCTTGTGATTGTGTCAGCAGCATCTTGTGCCAGTGAACAGTGCCTTATGGAATCCTGTTTCAGTGGCCTTGAGTGTTTTTTTTTCTTTAGAAAGTATTCTCAGACTGATGTTGGCCAATGTCATTCCCTGCTTACTAGCTCTCCAAGTGTCTGTAGACAGTCTTTAGTGATTTGAAGTTGCTATAACAAACTAAAGGTATGCTAATCAAATGAGGTGTTTTGCTCAGGCAGGAGCCTGAATCCTTCAGAAAGATACAAATCGCTACAGCTCTGCCAGCATTGTTGTGCTAGGTAGGTTCATAGGGGAGAAAAAACATAGCTTCAAGCAGACAGATGTTATAAAGTAAACAAGGTTAGCCTGTCCTGTTACAGATTAGCTAATCCTTTAATGGAAGAAACACCAATTGTAGGATTAGTGCAGAATAAATGTTCTTGTCCCTTTTACATTTGCCAAGGGATAACAAGCCTGCCGATTTTCAGGTGTAGCCATGCTAACATTGTTTCTTGCCTTTTTTTTTTTTTCTTTTTTCTGCAGAGGAGTATCTTCAAGTGGTTTTTGATAAAGCTACTTTTGCAGTTTCTGCAATTTTGCATCCAAGCACCTATTTGAATAAAATTCTCCTTGGGAGTGAGCAAGGGGGCTTGCAGCTGTGGAATATAAGATCCAAGTAAGATTCTTATTATCTTAGGTATACTTCATGCTCTAAGTAGTTTCGTATACGTCAACTAATATTTTTAACTATGGCAGCATTTGAACATGGAATATTTTACTGAGTACTTTGGCATAAGTTATTGCTTGGTCTGCCTCCAGCAATAAAGAATGTTGCTGTTCCCTGCATGCTGATGTTGTTCAAATTACATGTTGTTTACTGTCTCTGCAGAATGTCAGGGATTGTTCGAGAATTCTTTTCACCAAGTTACTTTTTTTTTTAGTTTCTTGGAATCACATAGCTTTCCCATGAAAATAATTAAAATTATAGTAAAAGCATGTTCAGGCCTCCTGCATCAACTCTTCCAAGTGTAATTTTTCTGGTTGGTGCTGGTCCAAGGAACTGCTGGCAGGTGGTGTAGAGGTAATTAGCGTTTGATACTTAGACTTAAGAAAGAGGTGTGTAGACATGTAGTTGTCTCTGAGTGTATCCCAGTAGAGCACTGTCCATAATGACAGTATTTCATGCTTACCATGATAAACTGCTTTCTAACCCATTAAAATCAGAGGGAGGTTCACTGTTGCCATGTATTAATGTACATACTGCAAATAAGTGTTAGATTGCATAGTTCAGTGTTTTATTCTCGTAAGTACCATATACTTACAGTGAAAGTACAGCTAACTTTTTGCTTCACGTTCAAATGTTTTGGAAACGCAGTATATGCTATATAAATCAGGAAGTAGAAATAACCTAAAAAATACAGAAAAGCAAATGTCTGCACTCGTACTACTTTTGTACCTGTAATGCACATCACAGCATCTAGGATGCAATATATCCTAGATGTTAAACCTCTTTTTTAGATCTCTTAATTTCTTCCTTAACTGTATGAGAATTTATAGACATGTTACTGCTCTTTTGACAACATGGCTAAGTTAAGTAATTTCTATTTTCTGTTGTTTGTTCCCTAAAACAAAAAAATATTTTGTGGATAGGCGTTGGCACAATTAGATAAAAACTAAATTGTTGAACCGAGGAGAAAAACTGATAATCTCTGTCAAGAGAAGAAAGTTAGGGATGGAAGTAGAAGGCTGCTAGCCATCTTTTAAGAATGATAACCAATATCTCTGGTGATACAATAATTTTTCAATTATGTGTTTATAATTTCACCCTCAAAAAGTACTGCATGACTAATCTGGCTTGATGTTTTGGCCATCTATGTTCTTGAAAGAAACAAGAAGGATGTACTTGTAGTACGAGGAAGTGTCTTCGTGTAAGGGAGTTACTCTGGATGAAGACTGGCTTCCTATGTTGATGTTAGGAATTCTGAAGAGGCGTATTTAAAGCAGAAACACATAGGGAGCACAGACGTGGAATAGGTTGTCTTCTTTATTGCATTATGTGATTGTGTCACCTTTGAAGTATTAAAGCGTGACGCTATTTTCAAATAAAAATGTACTGTAAGTTTTATTCTGAACCTTATTTATCAGTATTTTTTTCTCTTAAAAGGTGTGTAAGGACATGTCTTTTTTTTTGTGTAAATGCATGTAAAACACCCATTTTGATGTGGAAAATCCTGAAAAGTTATAATTGATTTATCTTTTGTTTTCCAGCAAACTCTTGTATTCATTTCCAGGATGGGGCTTAGGGGTCACAACTCTTGCACAAGTTAGTATGTTTTTTTTAATCTTATTTTCTTATACAACTGGTGAAGTATAGCAAACAAAACACTGTCGTTTAAAATTGCAGAAATAAAAATGACTTGTATCCACTCAAGTCAAACTAAAAATCCTCTTGAACATACTAGATGAAGAGAGGTAGACTTGAAGGCTAATTACATAGCCTTCCTCTAGTCCCAGTTCCTCTGTGTTTAGCATCTTAGCCATTTTGTGCTCATTATTCTGTAGTCTTTATTGAATTAATTACATAACTAATTAATAGAAAGTAATTGTTTGCAAACTGTAGGTGTATTCTGTGACTTTTGTGACGCTGGCAGTTTCTTGCTGTTTAATTTTTGTTTTTTTTACCTCAGAGGTTAATAAAATGTGGGTTTTGCTGAGTCAATAGAAGCTTTTGTAGTTTGTTTGTTTGTTTTCTAGATATAAAAAATAATTAAAACTTAGTGGTAGTGGTTAAAGTAAACCACATAAAGTAACAGCTTTGAAAATGATCTTTCGTCATCTGGGTAAAACTTTTAAATACATGCATGTGACAGGGTGCATAATGGTCTACCAGAAATACAGAAAACTTAGTGTTTTTCCAAGGAGTTCTAACTTATGGAAATTGAATTGTTCTATCCTGTGAAGAGGTGGTGCAAAATCTTGCAGCTCTTTTTAGTTTTAGATTTACCATATGCTCAATTTCAGTTATGGAAGTGTAGATAGAGGATATCATGAAATGCCTTTGTTTCTGCACTGTTTGTTCTTAGATGCAGTGTTTTGTATGTACTGGTATTAATAAGGTAGCGGCCAGCTTTTTTCACTTCCAGTTGTCTTTCAATATTTCCTACAGGCCCCAGCTGTGGATGTCGTTGCAGTTGGTCTTGTATCTGGTCATATCATTGTACATAATATTAAGTTTGATGAAACTCTTATGAAATTTCAACAAGACTGGGGCCCCATCACAGCAATATCTTTTCGTACAGGTACGTCTTTTGAAAATACATATAAAATAACTAAAACTAAATGGAAGTTGGGAAAATGTTTTAAAAAAGCATTTGTGAACCGAAGTTTGGGATGAGAGTTTCAGTTTTCAAAGGCTGTGGGTAATCTAGAAAAGCTATCAAAGAGTAAGGGAGATTAGGCTTATTTCATAGCACTTTCCCATGTACTAACTCAGTGCACAGGAGGTATGCACAGGCATACAATACTTTTCTTTAAAGAAAAATAAGCCTGTTATTTATGTGCCAAGAGCTAATGCCTCTCATAATTATTATTATTTTAATTATTTTAATTATTATTAATTATTTTCATAATTATCGGAGTTACTGCAGAGTAATCAGTACCCTAAGTTCGTATCCAAATTTATTGTCAAATGTATTGTCTAGTGTCCTCCGGAGGAAGACAAGTTAGAATGTTAACACTTGGGCAACAACGGAATGGCTGTTTCAGGGGAAAACTATGTTAACTTTTTGTGTGTGTGTGTGTGTCCAGTGAACACATACTAAATACTCCAGGTAGTTACTGTAGCACTGATCTTGCCTACAGGCTGTGATGCTGAATCTAGTCAGTCATATGAATAGAGAAGCATGCAAACCTTAACAGCATGTGCATTGATGCAAAACCTGCTGATGAGAGATGCTCCTGGAGAGACTTGATTGAAGTGCAGAGAGTGTTTTTGTTTCAGCCATTTAACTCAAAATGTTAGAGTTAAGTAACTTAACTTGCCTGCTTGAACATGCAGCTTCACACTCTCTCCAATCTCTCTCTAATCTGTCTCTCTTCCTGTCTTTATGGTTAGGAAATGTAATGTAAATATAACCTGGTTCTTTTGAATTCATATACTTATTGCAGTGTTTGCGTTCTTCATTTAAATGAAATGTTCTTCATTTAAATTTTACTTTATTTTATTAGACTCAAAAGATTAGTTTCCAGTTATGCAGGATACAGCAGATTTTTATCTTGACACGGTGAGGGTTAAACATACTTACTAGAGTATTTGCCATATGTTTTTAGAAGTTAGTGTGATATGTTTGTTTCCTTAATAATAGACAGGACACATGAAGTAGAACAAAAATTAGAAATTCCTTGAAATAGGAATTTTAATTATTACTTAGAGGGATTAAATAAAGATGTCATCAATTTACAGAATTTATTTTTGCAAGTTGTTGAGCAAAATAACCCCAGGATTTATAAATATAAAATATGCACACACACTGTCAACTTCTAGAGTGATAATAGAGTGGCTTTCACATCCTGAAGTGTGAAGGCTTACAAGTTTGGGGAAGAACCTGAGATAGAAAGTAATGTCTTAAAAAATGTTTCAGGGCAAGGTCTTGTGGGCTTTCCAGCCTTGGTTGCTGAACTTATAATCATCAAATTATAAGTCACCTTTGTCTAGTTTCAAGTTTGAAATATTAGGATATTTCAGATAGAACACCATATCTTGATAATGATTTTTTGTCCTTTGGTTTTGATCTTTTTTTTTTTTTTGGCATCAGTTTTAAGATGTACAAAGTTTGTTAGGAACTGATGAACTGAAAGTCAAGAAGCAAATCTCTTAAATTTTGTTTGAGCAGATGGACACCCGGTAATGGCAGCTGGTAGCCCTGTTGGACACATTGCTTTGTGGGATTTAGAAGAGAAAAAACTTATTAGTCAAATGCGAAATGCCCATTCCACAGCGATAGCTGGTATGTCGTTTGTCCCTGGAGAGCCACTTCTTATTACTAATGGTGCCGATAATGCTATAAGGGTAAGTTATAATAGCTGCTGCTCTTTGCTGTAGTGTTTTTGTTTTTTTCTCCTACAATCCTTTGAAGTGTAAATGTGTACTCTAGCTTAAAGTAGCAGTTTACAAATGAAACAAATACAATGAAACTAAAATTACTGAAATTGCTGGCTCTCAGCCAGTCTGTTAGTGGAGCAACTTACGGTTTTGCTGCCATGATGTAGCTTCCATTATTGCTTCATGGGTAACCTTGAGGAGTAAAGCTTTGGATCCATGCATCCCAAACCAGTTACTAACTTAAGTCATGATCTATTTCAGTTTTTGTGTAATATTCTGTGTTGTGAACTGTTGCAGTTGATAAATGTCCCTGGTGTTTTGCATTCTTTGATCTGGTGGAGGGGCATAATGAACAGTGGAGAGCAATTTGCTGCTGCGTTGTAAAACTCCGGAGTTTTAGTGTCAAATGTGAAAGCCAGTATGTGAAGTTTGCTCTACCAGCTTCCACTTTACCCTGTTCCCCTGTCAAGAATTCTGGTTGTTGGCACAGCAATGTTCAACACCTTCATCTTTCTGCTTTTCTTGGGGAGGCAGGTATGGATTTTTGATGGACCTGGTGGCACAGGTCGTGTGTTGAGAAGTCGAATGGGACATAGTGCACCACCAACAAAAATCAGATACCATGGACAAAATGGAGAGCAAATTCTCAGTGCAGGTATGAATTCTCATTCTTATTCTTCAGTATGACTTCCTGTTGTTATAAGGAAAACATCCCAAGCTTACATCAGTAAAATAAAAAACTAACAGATACTATGGATAAAACATAGTTATGAAACATGCAACTCTTAACAGAGAACAAAAATAGGAAACAATGCATTTTATAATTTACAGGAGACAATCCACTTTTCCCAAGTTTGAGCAAGCACTGTGGATCATGACTTCTTTGTAATTTGTTACAGTTTAGTTGTATCTAGATTATATCTTCCCAAGGTCACTTGGTACCAAGATATTAATGTAAAAAGTTTGTGACTACCCTTCCTTAGAAACTAACATATTTAGAATCAATTAATAGTCCTTAATTTCCTTAATGGCCTAGTTCAGAATGTTTTGTGGCCCAGAGCACTTCAAAAATGGAATAAGAGACACTTCAGTTAATCTTCAATCGCTCTGAAATAATTTAATTGTCTATATGAGCAACACTTGAAAACATTACATTTTGATGAATGTTGCATTAATATGGCCCAGCAATACACTGGTATACCAGCTTTGGCCCCCGCTGTATACATGACATTAACATCCTGGAAAAGTCCAACATAGAGCCACGAAGATGATTCAGGGACAGGAGCACCTCTTCTGTGAGGACAGGCTGGCACAACTGGAACTGTTTAGCCAAGAAAGGAGAAGGGGATGCAAATCGGCGCAAAGGAGCTTCCATCCAAACATGAGGAAGCACTTCTTTACTGTGTGGGTGACCGAGCACTGGAGCAGGTTGCCCAGAAATGCTGTGGGGTCTCCCTTGGGGATCTTTAAAAGACATCTATATGTGGTCTTAGGCAGCCTGCTCTAGGTGGCCCTGCTTGAGCAGGGTGGGTGGAGAAGGTGGCTTCTGGAGGTTCCTTCCAACCTCAACCATTCTGTGCTAAAATTTCTTGCTGGTTGTCCAACTACGTAACTTGGACTTGAGTAGCTAGTTACCTGACTGTAGCTCAGCTCAGTCCGGATTAGCCACTGTAACAATTGCATTGCTTAACAAATCCTCATGTTTGTTATTTTATTTCACTGTTTTGTTAACTATACTGAAAAATATGGAATGAACACAGAGGCAAGGTCTGAGGTCTCAAGCTTTGAGATCTGATTTTTCTGCAGTGTAAAGGGACTGACTCTCTTCATTCCTTTCTGAAACAGTGATAAAACTTCATGCAACAAAAATGAGATTGCAGTGCCTTTCAAGTGCTACTGTTTTCTCTAGACAGGCTTCCCTACAAATACACGATAAAAATTCACTAACGTCCATGGCTTCATCCTGCTTGATGTTGTTCCCAGTTCACAGTACGTTTGTCCTGGCTCCCATGCAGAAGAATCTTTTTTCTTTGCAGTGTATTGCTTCTGAATTTGTCTGCCTTGTAGAGGCTTTTTGTTTCTCTTTCTACAATACACAAGTCAAGGTGCTTGAGTTTTGTGTTCAGTGTCTTTCAGGTTGTTTAAGTTCACTTTGAATAATTTTCTGTTTCCATACTTGTTTTCCTAATAACCATGTTCTGTGATTCCTCTGACCTTTAAATATAGTGCCTTTGATTTTATGTGTGTTGTACAGTTATGTTTTCTGTTAATTCTTAATTCTGTCTTGTCCGTGTCATCCCCACAAAGTTTTTGGATCTGAATGTTTCAAAATTGAGTCTTCTGTCCCTCTTCTAAATTAAATCCCTCTAAACACTGTGAACAATGGATACTAGATGGAGTAGGGAAGCCCCATTAGTGTCCTGGTCTGCAGGAGGGATGGAGAACTCAGCCTGTACCATTTGTGTTTGGTTAACTTAGGTGTAGTTCTTAGCCAGCCATGGCATGTGTTGGGTAGAGAGAGAATAAGAAAATAATATTGTAATTGGTGAGAGTAGTGTGTAGTTATGGGAAAGTTAAGGAGGTACTGTGAAGTTACTTGAAGAACATAGTGTATATATGGTAGTAATGACAGAAAGCTGGAAACAGCTAGATATTGTGGTGGAGAAAGTAGGGGACACAGTAATTGAATGTGGAGAAGATAATTAAAAAAAAAACACAAAACCTGTCATTTTCTGTGTGTATAAAGTAGTAGGAATTGGAATATAGGCCATAGAAAAACTGTGTTCCATTAGTTCTAGTAGTTATAATTTACCCGTATTTTTTCTTAGATCAAAATTTTTATTAAATTATTATGGTGTTCTGAGATTTCTGAGAGTTTATCTTCTGCTTTTCTTGTTCAGATAGCTTATGAGTAAATAGAAAGTTGGTTCGTTTTCACCCTTGAGTGATTTCTGCTAATGTTTTGTCAGGTCAAGATGGAACGTTGCAGTCTTTTTCAACAGTGCACGAAAGATTCAATAAAAGTTTAGGACGTGGTAAGTATTTCAGTGAAAGTACCAATATTGATGAAAAAACTGCAAATGTATTTATGTAAACACATGTGACAGCATTAGGTAAGTCTTGTTTCCACTTTAATTGTTATATAAAAAATATTCACCTCATCTGCTCTTCAAACTCAGTCCTCCTGATGTATAAATTAAACTCTCAGAAGTGTTTGGCTGGTTGAATACTTGGAAAACTAATTCATGTGGCCTACAAGGAGTATTATTTCACTGTGGGAAACATTGGGCATGATTTTTGTATTAAAAATATATAACTTAAGTGACATTTATCGTGTGTCATTTTAACTCCTTTTCCCCGCATTCATTTTCTTTTTCTATTTAATACGCTAAATTAATACAGTTCTTTCAGATTTCTTGGCTTCAGTTTCTCTGATATATTGTAAAGTGTCATTTAAAAAAAAATCTACACACTGCCATGCTTAAGGGATATTTTCATTGTTCCTGTAGAGTGAGGCTCAGAGAGACTGAGATAATTCTTATTTTTAAATTTCTGTATATAGTTGTATACATATTTAAATAGACAGACATAGATTAATTGGATGGTTATGTCCTTCGGGCATAAATTTAAAATTCCTGAGTCTTTGGATATTGAAATTGCTGAGTGTTGTATATTGCTTTATATAGTCATGTCTGTATGACCACACCTTTTTTTGTGATGATGGATCTCTGCCTGAGGAAGTCAACACAACATCCCGGAACAAATGAGTTGAGTAGTATATCTGTGAATATATTAGGGTAACAATTAGCTCAGCATCACATGGATTTTGACAGGAACTCTGCTAATCTTCTTAGCTTTTCAGACTCTACTGCTATATAAATATAAGTCAAAATTTTCAAAGTTTTATAGGAACTTTACATGTAGTAAATAATCTATTTTAAACCAATAAGATCAGATCATGAGGTTGAGACACTTACTTGCTTTTTTATTTTAAGGTTCAATTAACAAAAAGAAATCAAAAAAGAAGGGTCTTCAGCATGATACAATGGCACTTCCACCGATTACAGCCTTTGCTTCAGGTAAGTAGTACTTGTGTGATATGTGATAGAACTTGTCACATCTTCATCATACCTTTTAACCCTTTTAAAGACACAAGTGTATTGAAAGATGGTGCTGTTTTGAGAAGAAATTGCTGAGATTATGGCCCATCATGAGCAATAGAATAACAGTTTAAAATGACATTTTACCTGCTCAATTCCATTCTTAATTCAAAAAAGAGCATTTCATTTCAAACATCTTCAGGTTCAAACAGCTGTTGGCTTGAAAACCTCCAATAGGGGAGCTAGTATCTTCTGGCATTTGTGGTACTTGAGGCTGGAGAACCAGCAGGAAGATCTCTGTCAGCTAAGGAATGCTTAGTTGTAGCAGCTGATTTTTTGGTCTGCCAGTTTCTCTGTTAGTTTTCAAAGTAAAATTTCAGTTATTTAGTTCAGTTGTGATTCAGTGAACCTAACTTTTTGAAGCAGAATTGCAGTTATCTTTGCTTTATCAAAATTGACTTCTTCAAATGAAGCTCCTCCTCTTTAGATTTCAGGTTTTTATCGTAAGTGCAGCTATTCTTCTGTGTTTCAACCATGGTTCAGTGTTTTGTGTTTTGAGTGGTTTGAATTTACAACTTTGTGTAGCCCTCTTACTAAATATAGTTGTTATATTTTGCACAATTCAATCGTACGTACTTGTTGCAGAAAGATGTATATGTGTGTGTGCATTTTTTTAATGTATGTTAGATGTTCTGCTTGATAAATTTAAGATATTAGAATACCTTAGGTATGTTTGGGGGTACAAGAAAACATTGATTAAAGTACATTTTGCTTAGTGTTGCTTCTTTGTTGCTATATTGTCTTCCATAGCTAGGGTGAATTGGCTTGTTCCTGGTTACTTTATTCTTTAAAGTTATAGAATTACTCTATTTCAAGATCTAAAAAGTTTTTTTTCACATATTAATTCCAGAAAAAAATGCAAATTTACTTGTTATTTAGAAGTCCATATGATTGGTCATATTATCAGAACTTTGTTACCATAACAAGTAAGTTTTTGAAGAAAAGTTTTTCCACAAACAGAAAAAACTTTCACTATGTGATGCAGATGTAGCTTTTAAACCCTGCTCTAAGTGGATAAACGAGTGGCTTTTAACTGCTTCAGCAGATTAAGAAAAGATTAGGATACTCATCTGGAAATAGGTACAGCTTGAACAATTTAACCAAACTATTTATGTTTAAATATGCTTTTCAAACCACATAGGCTCAAATATTTAAAGATGTGAAATGTGACAAACCAGAAAAATGTGTGTGGTTTTGTTAGCATTTTAGTTTTAATAGCACATGCACAACAGTTTGCCAGGCATTTTTTTTCTAAATGATAGCCCTTTATCTGTCCAGTAAGAACACTAAATGTAAACAGTTTTGCCTAAAGATATTTTAAAATACTATTTCTTACGATATCAGAAAAAGCTTATTTGATTGAATGTTTTTTTCTGAAACGAACGTGTATGTTGCATTGCAGAAGTGGCACATCAAAGTGACTGGGATGGTATTGTTGCCTGTCATCAAGGGTATATAACCTGTACAACCTGGAACTATCAGAAAACTTCTATGGGAATTCATAAACTGAGGCCAGAAGAATTTAGCAAAAACAAGCCTGTTGATATATATGCAACAGTAAGTTTATTTATAATAGCATCAGGATTATGGTATATGCTGTCTTGATTTTGTACAGAAGCAATATTTATAATGAAAAAACATTATCTAGAGGTGTTTTTGTTGCTTTGCAGAGTTCTTTCTGATCGCTCAGTGTGTTCTGCTAACTGTTTAGTAATGTGATTAAGAGAAATGCTGCATATGCATTTTTTTCTTTAAGCATACCATTTAGCTGAAGATTCAATTTTTCAAACTCAGATGGTTAAATGGTTTATATTTACCAAGGTTTTCTCATAATGACTTAAATTTGACTGTATGCCTTTTTATATACTTGTGCTGTGAATACAAATTGCTGAAGATGCTTTTTTTTTCCTGGCAATATAGAAAAATGTATTTTCAAATTGCAGACAGGATAGTCTCTTCAAAATGCTTTGCAACTTGAGCTGGCCACCATGAGAGCCAAGCAGTCAATAAAAGAAATAAATGTTTACTGAGGGTTTACCAGTTTTCAGTACAAGTAGTTTCTGTGGCACGTGTAGCTCGTGTGCTATGTGTTCATAGTACTAATTTATCTCAGGGTAAATTTTGTATTTATAACATTATGCTTAGCAGTTAAAGTGGTAGATGAGTTCAGCTGTAAATACCTGCTTTCTCCTAACGGATTCTTTGTCTTTCTAAAGATGTTAGACCATTTTCTCTCACTACTTAAGCTCTGTGTGAATTTAGCCTGTTCTGGGGTGCCATCAGCAGTACTGGTATTCAAGCAGAGTGGCAGTAGGTATGCTTGGTCCATATGTTAGGTACTGAAATCATGGATGCCTTGATTATTTAAATTACTCATTTAGATTACGACTTTGATGTTGCTAGGTATATTTCTGAATGAAAATGTCACCAAGGCAGTATTTCATTATCCTTAATAAGCATTCACTGTCTTATTTACTTGCAGATTTGCTTATTTTAATATTTCTTCTATACTTTTTAGAGGTGTTATCTTTTTTAGAGGTTCATTCCATGGAGCTTTCGTTGAAGTTTAATAAAAACAGACAGTATTTTGCATTCCTATTATACATTATTTATCTTCTAACAATTTTTCTAATGAGAGATACATTTTAAGAATTGTTTTCATAATTGTTTTTTTTCCCCTCAAAAGGCTGTTGACATTACCAGCTGTGGGAACTTCGCTGTAATTGGGATGTCAACAGGACGGGTAGATGTATATAACATGCAATCCGGTCTTCACAGAGGGTGCTATGGCAAAGAAAGAGGTAGGAATTTCTAAAGTATTGATTTGAACAGCAGAACAGCAACAATTTAGTATTCTGTCATCTGAGGAATCTAACATACTTTCCAATTTGAATTTGGGAATGAGTCCTTTCCATTTCCGTAACTACTGTGTACTGTCCTAGCTTGTACTGTTATCAGCAGTAATTTGAGACCTACACTGAAGGACATCCCACCTACTTTTAATAGCTGTGACATTAGCATCTGTTTCATTTTAATCAGCAGAACTTTGGCAGTTACCAATATGTTTAGCACTAAAATGAGACCCTCAGGTCTCATTTGGTACTTGGCTTCTTGTTATACTGTTCTTCCTCAGAGGTAGTTTCACATGTTTCGTGTGCCCTGCTTAAAAATGAAAGAATACTTTGTATACACAGGAAATGGAAATTTGTAAGAAATTCCAGATCTTTGCAAATACTTTTATCTAATTACCCAGCTGCAAACTTCAGACTTTATGTGAATAATGGTGTTCATCTCCTTCCAGTGGTTGTGCACATATATATTGCATGTCATGTGTATTTGCTGCTGCTTTGTAAATCTGCAATTTATAGTAGGGCCCTTATAGTCTGATGGTTTTAGTTGTAGAAATAAAGAGTCCTGATGAATTTTCAAACCTTGACAGGATGCTAAAAGCCATCTAACTTGGGAAATCTGAAGCAGTTTCTTACAATATCATTATTCCTGTAGTGAGATCAGTTCTATAAGCTTGGTTACTGGCCAGTAACCAGAGGCATAGAACAAGAAATAAAATTTATCCAAAAACAGATAAGCTCCTCTTTATTATTCAGTGTAAAGTTGTCTGGGGGGCATGGTGGAACAGACTTTTGGCCAGATCTGAAGCTGTAAATTCTGTGTGAAGTGGTCAAGTTCCTTGGAAAAAATCCTTCAATGATACAAATCCTTAAATGATACAAAAAAAAAGTCCCTTAAGTTTAATGTTCAAAAAAGTCTCCCAAACTGAAAACCTAATCTTCAGCTTCAACTATGCACAACTTCTGTGTTATTTGAATTTGTTATGTATTCCTAGATGCTTACTTGAATACAAGTTAGTTTTGTGTATTTGGTTTCTGTACTGATAAAATAAACAAAGACTTTACAATTCAACTGGTCTTGTCAGGTCACTTTGGAATTGTTTGTCGCATGCTTATGGCTTATTTTATGTAGTTAAGCAGAGACAAACAGAACAGTACTAAGCAGTATGCTGATTTCTAAACTGTGTTTCAAGTCTGAAATAAAACTTTCTTTTTCCCTTTGATTTGCAGCACATGAGGGTTCCATAAGGGGGTTAGCAGTAGATGGATTAAACCAGCTGACAATCACAGCTGGTAGTGAAGGGTTAATTAAATTTTGGAAGTTCAAAACTAAAGATCTAGTTCACTCCACTGATCTTTCATCTTCTCCAAGTGGAATTCTGCTTCACAGAGACAGGTAAGAAACTAAAGGTATTTCATACGCATATTGTTTTGCTGCGCATATAAAAGTGTAGGATCACAAATTTTGTAATGAAATTTAAGTTTTTGATGCTTGAAGTGCAACAGACTGCTAGTTGTACGAGATGTAGTGCTAGTCTGAAGGAGTGTGTAAACTGATTTCCCTGAGATTATTTTAGGGTAATGATATTTTTGGAGCAAGGTTATTGATGTTTTCCTTTTTTTAATCTCTGAGTATTCATGGTCATATATGCTATTTATTTTTGGCAGTGGTATTCTGGGAATTGCCTTTGATGACTTCAGTATTAGTGTTTTCGATATAGAAACCAGGAAGATTGTCAGGAAGTTCTCAGGACACCATGGACGGATTAATGACATGGTAATTGTTAACTCACTCACTGTAATAGGTGATGTATGCATGTGCTAAATTAATTTTAAAGAGGATGGAATTCTCTACATATATGCAGTCACTGATTATTTTATTCAGTGATGAACAATGAAATAGTTTGACCACATTCGTTTTCAATTTAAAATATCATGTTCAAACGGCAGTATATTTTTAATGTAGTTTGGGGTTTTACTATAGTCATCCAAGAAACTACTTTTGAGTTTAACAAAATAAAGCATTAGAAATAACAGAAGTCAAGTTGAGCATAACATTGTGCTACAGTCCTAAACTGCACATGTACAAAAAATACACCAGGTAAATACATAGCATGAACAGATCTGAGATTATACCACACACTGATATTTACTTATTTACATCTTGTGTAATTGTGCTTTGCATTGTTCATGAAAATAATTCATTTTTAGCTTCTGATTTAGTTTTTAGTGCTAGGAAGTATTTGATTTCTTCAGTTTTATGTTAAATGTTTTCTGCTGTTAATGTAAAAATGAGGACCAGAATGCTTTCACTTGAAGTCATATGTAACCTCTGTCAGTATATTTAGACTTGTTCTGAAATAGCTTCTGTTTTTCTCCTTTTCCCTCTTTAATAAGGTGTTGTCAGTTTTGTTACTATGGCCAGGCTATTTCATCATGATCTTAGGGAGCAATCTAATTTTCAACTGTGTAAAAGAGAACTTCCTGACTTGTCAGTTGTCATACTTAAACTTAGTATTTTATTTTAGACTTTCAGTCCTGATGGTCGCTGGCTAATAACTTCATCAATGGACTGTACCATTAAGACTTGGGACCTTCCATCTGGATGGTGAGTCAATTGAAAAAGCTATAGCAAAACTTCTTATAGTCTGTCTCTTAAATGGTAAAAAGTCATTCTTGCTTGATTATGTCACCGAACTCTACTATATGATACTCAAAGTTATACATGGGGAAAGAGCACAGTATCCAGTATATTAATTGTGTACGATGCTAGCAGTCATAGAATTGTAGAACAGCTCAGCTTGGAAATGGCCTTTTAAGATCCTACCTTTCATGGAAAAGGTAGCCTAGACGGGATAATTTAGCACCCTGACCGGTTTCATCTTGAAAATCTACAACAATGACCTCCTGGGGAAGTCGTTACAGTAACTGTTCTCACTGTTAAAAATGTCATCCATCAAGATAAAACATCTCCCGGTGCTACTTGTACCTTTTGCCCCTGGTCTTCTTCATTTGGCTTTGTACAAAGGGAGAGACTTCATCTTCTTCCTAGCCTCTCTAAGTACTGGAGTGAGGTCCCCGAGAGCCTTCCTTTCTCCAGGGTAGAAAGACCTTGTTCTTTCCCTTTACTCAAAGGTCAAGTGCTCCAATCCTTTGGTCATCTCCATAGCCCTCCTTTGGACCTTCTGCATCTGTCTGTGTCTTTTTTGAACTGTTGGAATCAGAACTTGGCACAGTGCTCCGGGGTGGCCTAAGAAGGACTGAGTAGAGTATGATCCCCTCTCTATCTCTACTAATGATGCCACTGCAGATGCAGCCTGATCTGATCCAATTGGCCTTTGTTTCCATAGCAGCACACTGCTGACTCGTGCTCAGCTTGATGTCTGCCAGGACTCCCAGGTCCCTTTCAGCAATCCTGCTCTTCAGCCACGTAGATCCTAACCTGTTTCGGGATCTTTGGTTATGTCTTTCCACATGCAAGACCTTGCACTTCTATTCATTAAACCTCAGACAGTTCTTGCTTGACTACTGTGGCAGTCTGTCCAGGTCCCTTTGTAAGGTGGCTCTTCATTTTGAGAGATCCACCTCACCCACCTGGTTTACTATCATTAGCATGGTTGGTGGAGGTACTTTAAATCCTGTTGTCCAGATCATTTATCTTCTAAACAGCACAGAGGCTAGAATCAATCACCAGGGGACCTGGCTCGTGACAGGCTGCCTGCCCAGGCTACAACAATTGATCACCACATTGTGATTGTAGCTTGTTGGCCAATTTCCTACCTGTCTCACAGACCACCCAGCTACTCTGTATCTTCCCTTTTTGGCTAGAAGGCTGTCGTAAACATTGTGGAGTGCTTTGTTGGCGTCCAGGTAATTAATATCCACTGCTCTTGTTGTAGAAAGTGGCCAGGTTAGTCATGATTTGCCTTTGGTAAATCTAGATCTGTGTTGTCTATTCCCAGTCATCTGCTTCAATTGGCTTGCAGCAGTTCCTAGGAGGACTCGTTCCTTTACTTTCCCAGGGGCTGCAGTAAGACAGGTAAGAGGGCCCATACTTTCCTGGGTCCTCTTTCAGGACCTTCATGTGGATGTGTGGCATTTGCCTTCTTCCAATCATCAAGAACATCCTCTGATTTCCACTTTTCAAAGATCATGGATGGGTGTTGCAACTATGTCAGGCACTTTTCTTAAAACCCTGCCAGTTTCATTTCTTGTGGAACCTTAACCTTTCTGACTGCATCTCTGCATATCCTAGCAAGGCTCTTGTCCTCGATGAGTATTTGGCTGTCTTTCCATAGCTGGTATGCTTCTTTCCCTCCCTTTTAAGCATACCCAAAAGCTGGTCATTAAACCAGGACAGTCTCTTGTTCTGCCTTCTTCTTATCCCATTGCCAGGGATGGATGGTTCTTCTGCCTCCAGGATGCTGTTCTTGAATGACAAGTCATCTTGGTTTGTGAGCAGTAAATAGAGTGGTGTACTGTTCCTAGTCACGTCCAGCATTAGTGGCAGGAAGTAGTCCTCAGGACATTCCAGGAACCAGACAACTTGTTCACCGCTATGTTATTTTCCAAACGAATGTCCAAGTAATGGAAGTCACCCAACTGGACTGGGTGTTGTGCCCTTTTTTTGGGAATACACATTAGCAGTGTCTTGAAGATATGATGAAATGTGGAGTTTTCATATAAGTATGAATAAGTGTGAATTTTTCTGGAAGTAGCTCCTTAATGTAAATGGAAAGAGTTTGCCTAAAGTGAATGCTTTCTGATATGCTGAAGGATTAATCCATTTTGTTTTCTGAATAGAGCCCATTCTCACTCACATTCACTTTAACATATGATAAGCTTTGCTTCAGAACTGCAAGAAGTTCTGATCAAGCTGAAATCCAGACATACATGAAATACATGACACGCACTGTCTTTGAAAATGATTAGACTAGTTTTTTATTTGAGAAAATTTGTAAATTTTCTTAATTTTTTATTTTAAGAAAAGGTTTTCCTATAGCTGCAGGCTGAGGAATATATTGGAAAGGAACAGCTCTTCATAGAAAGTCAGGTGCTTGATTTACTTCTACTATAGCACGTTTGCTGCTTAGCAGAAGAATGGAATTATAAACTGTGCATTCTAAAGACTGAGCTTTGATATTGAAAAGACGGAAAATAATTAACATGACTAATACAGAAACATGATTAACATGACTGAGTCTTAAGTTACAAAAATACCTACTGACTTTAATATATGTCATACCATTTACTTATTGAGCATCTGTTTTTACTTGGGAATGCAGCTTAACTGTTTGTGCTTGCTTATGTAGGGCTTTATAAGAATTGGGGAGAAATTATCAATTTATGTAGAGGTTCTTACAAGCAGGAACCTTGGTGTTACTCAAAGTTTTTTTCCTGCAGTACACCTTGCATAGACATATTTTCTGTGAAAATCATGGGCATGTCTCACATTGCCCTTCCAAGACGGACAGATTTTTTTTTCTGAACTCTGTAATTTTAATCATGGCTTAAATTTCATACGTAGGGAAGACTTGATTAAATTTATTGTTACTTCTGTTTTTCATTATGGCTACTTTATTGAACAATAATTTTCAGATACTGATACAGATAGTGGTAAAAGTATGGATTTACAACTAAAAGCAGCATTTACGGTAAATCTTCCAGCCACTGTACGCTCACTGATACACGTTCTAGCACTTACTGGTTCAATGTTTGTATATTTTGTTGTAAGTAGTGAATGATGTGGCTCCTGCCTGATTAACTTTTAACTTGTAATGTTTGTCTACCAGCATGTAAATGAAATTAAAAGTTCCATTGAAAGTACAAAAGTGGATTTCTAAACTTGATTTATCAAACCTTTGTAAAAGTGCTGAGTACCTAAGAAAATACATGCTCGCAAGATTTTACATTTTAAACCCCTCTGTTACATTAATATATTTCTGTGAACTGAACAGATTTGTGGAACTAGCTGCGGTCATTGCTTCTTGCTTTACTTTTGTTAAATGTCTGTAAAGAGCAATCCCTTTATTCATGCTTTCCATTCAGTTTTTATTGTTTCTGTCAATGAGCTACTTGTCACATTCAGTTACTTACAATTTCAAGTAACTGAAATTTGTACCTCAAAGTGACAGGCCATGCTATGAAAGTGAGCTTAAAAGGAAGTCTACTAGGGTATGCATCATCAGCCACTTAAAAGTGGCTTGTTAAAACTGTCACACATCCTTTAATATTGTAACTTTCTTTTTGTTGTCTTTTTTAAGTTTTCTGTATTAGTAAAAGGAATGATCAAGGAACAATAAATATATCTTGTTAAAGTTCTTATAGTGTCAAGAGAAAATATTGGAAATGATCAAATTTTGCAGGGAGAAATTTAAAGATCTACAAATTTTGCAGGTTCATTCTTTACTTTAGGGACATTAGACCCTAGTTTTAACCAGGTATTCTTATGAAGTTCTGAAGAGAGAGAATTGACAACTAATGGCAGAGAACTAAAAGATGAGTTCAGACCAGCATGGGGCTGACTGGAAGTATGAAACTTATTGCTGCTGAAAACGCTAGCATTAGACCTAAGGAATTGTATGTGTACAGATGGTTCAGCATATTATCCACAAAATATGGGTGCCTAAGGAGGTAGAATAAATATTCTAGCTGTAGCTGGTGTCAGAAAATTTTATAGAGGTACCGTGGTTTGTTGCCCAGTGCCATTCATTTGCTAAGTTTATATATGTTGTATTTCAGTGCTCTAATATGCTGGCTCGTGTTTCCAGTGTCCTGCTTCCATTCAATCCTGTTTGTGCTATAATTCAGATATGTATTAAAAAAAAAAGTTTAGTTTGTTCATGTTTTTCTTTATCTTTTCTCTTTAGCCTCATAGATTGCTTTCTGCTGGACTCCGCAGCAGTGAGCCTGACTATGTCTCCAACAGGAGATTTTCTAGCTACAGCACATGTGGATGATCTTGGAATTTATTTGTGGTGAGTATGTAACGTAACTTTTTCTGCATAGAACTTTGAGTGGGGAGGACTTATAATCATCTTCATGGCAAATATATGAATGTTCTGCAAAGTATCATCTCAAGAGTTTCATCATATTTGTTTCTAAAAGAGTGAGATATTCTCTGCTGTTGTGATCTGTAGATCTTTAAATTTCTCATTGTTAAGATACGCTGATAATTAAGTAGTCTTTGTGTGCTTTTTTCTGTTTCTTACTCTAAAGAATTCCTGGTATGCCATTTCTAAAGTTTCTCCTTTGTTCTTCTCTATTTTTTTCTGTCCTTTTTAAATGTCAGTGTCATACCACGTCACCATCTGAAGGACTAGTTTTCTTCTCCTAGTATACAACATTGTCTGAGACTTCTTGGTACAATTTGGAAATTATGACTATTTTTTTATTATTGATAGATCAGCACAGGTGTAAAAATGCATTTTTGTTCAATTTTATAGAGATTTAAAGCAAATTGTTGGTTAGATCTAGGACTAATGTAACAGTCTGTTTAATATGTTTGTTGTGGTTGGTTTTTTTTCCTTTGTCTTTCTTTGGCAGATGGGTTTTTCTTCTTTGGCTGTAGTTTTACCTGATAGGTATTCACTTGTTAGACCTTTCTTTGTTTAAGTAAAAGTGCTTTATTGTGAATAATGGCAAATGTATTCTTGTTTACTCCTAGTTTGTATTGATAGAAAGTCATTACCAGCATTGCTTGTGTGCAGGTTCCAACTTCCAAAAACATTTGCTAAATGTACTACTCTGAAATTATGTGAAAGCAGGATGTTTGTTTATATTTGCATAATACATTGCACATACTAATTACAAGCAAGTTTTTTAGGTAATTTTGCCATTGCAAATAATACAGAAATTGTCAGTGACTGAAGTAATTTCATTTCATATTGCCATAATTTCAGACATTTTGATGATGTGTATCATCATATATCATTCTGTGTTTATCTAATAAATAAGTTTTCATCATCTTGAATAGAATCTAGTGAATAGTCAAAGTGCAGTAGTATTAGACTGAGGTAGAATTCTGTCTAAAATGTTTTTCCCATTCACATGAAACTTGCTTTAAAAGTGGCTGTCTTATTTTCCAGGTCAAACCGTTCTCTGTATTCACTTGTTTCTTTACGGCCCCTTCCAGCAGACTATGAACCTTCTATGGTAATACTCCCTGGCACTTGCCCTCTGGAAGGTAATCTTGAATATATTTGGTTTGATGAATTTCAAATAGAAGACACTTGTGTTTCCTCAGTGAAAACTTAGTGTGTCTTAACATTCTATTTCTGAACTTTTTCTATTGTTTCTATCATTTTTTTGCATTCTTTGGCATCCTCTTTTTGTATTAATATTATTTAATAACAATCTATTAATGTTTCTACGTTCAGACATACATAATTACATTGTGATTATCTCCACTTAATTGAGTAGATTTTGTGGGTAATAAGAAAGCTTGTGCTATTTGCTTGCTTTCTTTAAGCCCAGACTGCTGTTAAGTACCTTCAGTTGTGGCATCTGTGAGAGCGTTTTGAAATAAATACTACTACTTGGCAGCAGGAAGGAGGCTGTTGTTTGTTCTCATTTCCTCCAATGTTTTTGTCTGCATTTATGCCATGGTACTTAATTCTGTATGTTATCATGTTGGCAACAGGACTGGGTTCAGCTCACATGCCACGTGTCTGTGTTAGTTTTCTAGTGTAAAAAAAAGGCTTAAACTGGACTTTTGACATATTTAGTAGAAATAGTTGTGTTTTTGAAGGCCTCTAGATGGAGATCTTGTCTGCTAAATTTTGCAGTTCTCCTGAGGTTGAATACATTTCGATCTCTAACAGGAGACCTCCATCAGGAGGAGAGACACACTTAGCTGTTGACTGCACAAAAGAGCAAGGAACCCCGCTCTGTGTAAAGTGCTTCATTAAGCACGTGCTTATTTCAGATGCTTGAATTAGAAAAATGGGATTTTGCCCCAAAATTTCTAATGTTTTAATTTGTAAACTGATTCTGGCTGAATGCTTGAATTCACTGTCTGTCTTCAGCCAGTGTAAGGTTTTTGTCTGGATGCTTGAAGCTTTTAATGTTTCATTTTTCTTTATGCCTTTAGGCTTTTCTATCACATTGATGTTTTCAGCCAAGTAGTACTGTGCAAAAAGAAAGCAGAAAGTGAAGGTGTTTTCTTGTCAGTCTTTAAAATTTAGTATTTCGAGTTCTACATTTTAGCCATAATTGTTCTAAATTTAGTATTTCACAGTGTTGACAAAGTTTTGTTTCTGTGGTTTGTCAGGTATTTGTTACACTAGCACCCATGTATCTAGCTCCTGATGCATGTTTAAAACAAAAAGCAAAAGAAACAATTGTGGTTTTATTTTCATTTTTCTTAAGTTAAGTATGCATGTTCATAAAAGATATCTGTTTTTGAAAGATGTAGATGTGGCAGAAGGTGAAGAAACATGTGATGAAATGATAGAATATGACTCACCTGAGCAACTGGGAGAACAGCTGGTGACCCTTTCCTCATTACCTGAATCAAGGTGGAAAAACCTCCTCAATCTTGATATTATCAAGGTAATAATAATAGGCACACCATTGTTTATTGTAGTATTTAGATGGTGTTACTTAAGAAGCAGGTTTTAAAAAAAAAAAAAATGTTTCTTCTGTAGTGCAAAACAGTTGTCCTAACTATTCTCTTGGGTATTCAAGAAATTCCTAAGAAGGAAGAACTGTTTATTAACTCTTGCCATTATTTTTTTCACAATATGCAAAATAGCTGTCTGTACCAGATATGTCAATGCAATTTATGCATGCTCCTAAATCTAAATTTTGTCTTCAAACAACAGACAGCCATTGCTATTAAACAAAAAAAACAAAAAGAGAGAATTTGCAAAAAATACTAGCATACAGGCAGATGCCTGCTACCTGACTTTGACCTATAAGCTGCATTTATCTATTCACGACACTTGATCCTGCTTTTCTGATACTGTTCAGGATTTTGATGTAGAAGACTGCAAAAGACTACTTTTCACAATTTCTGGGATTTGATGTCCTAAATAATAGCTTCGTATTCAGTAGCAAAACATGTTTTTCTGTATGTTTACTTTTCAGTTAATCCTAGTAGTATTTGTGAAATTCTAAAAAATTCATCTCTTTAAAAGAAAATTCTCACTTGTTCTTGTTGTGATTGTGACTTTATTCAAATATCTAATTAACAGAAAAAAAACAAACCAAGAGAGCCACCAAAAGTTCCCACATCAGCCCCTTTCTTCATCCCAACAGTTCCTGGTCTTATACCCCGATATGCTGCTCCAGAGCAAGAAAATGATGCACAGGTAAAAACAAGACTCAATATAATAGTGTTTATCTAGTATATTTTTGCAACAAACTCTTAAATAAGGTTTTTTTGTCCTAATAAATCTTGCTAAAGGATTAACAGTACAGTTTTTAATGCATCTACTTTCTACTTACTGCTTTCTTTTTTGGAGCCTTTCATCCTGTCAAGAAAATAATCTGATTAAGATGTAAAAATATGTTTGCATATTCAAGTATGCTCACATACTTTTTCATGGTCTAGTCAAAGGTGGTAAACATTGGAGTGCTGGCACAGAAATCTGATTTCTACATACATCTTGAAGAAGCTCTGAGCACTAACAAATGTAAGTTGAGAAATTTCAATGAAAATTCCATTATTACTAGAAGCTAGTAATATTTTGAAAAGTTTGATTTCTAATGTGGGGCGTAAGATACACATAATACAGTAGCAAAGGCAAAAAGAAGGTCTGCTATGTATGAAGCTGAGTAGTACATAAATAGGTGATCTTTATCAGAGAAACATTGTTACTCTAGCTTGCTTGCAGCATGGATCCAAGTTCTGGCTAAAAGCTGTATATAGAAAGCAGATAAGGTTATTAAGATATTTCAGCAGATTGTAATGCTCTCATGCAGAAAAAAATATGCTCTATATTGCTTGTAATGTAAGAAAGGAAGGGAATGATGTGATAAGTAATAATCTGGTGGTTCACTGAAACATGAAAAATATCATTTGCCTAATGAGTTCTATTTTCAAAGGCTACTTCACCAGACATTCACCAAACTTACTTTTAGTAATAGTAGTTGCTTTATAATTAAAAGCTTAGGAAGAAGTAGCTAACTTAAATAATCTGTTTGGTTTTTTTTTTGACATTCACTTCTTCTTGAAATTCAGTCACTTAAGGTGCTGGTGGGGTTGACTGTACCTGCTATATTTTTCTCTTAAACTGTGCTGCTACAAAATTATTGGAATATGGATTTTTGGAAACAGTTGGCAATATAGCTGACCTGGAAACTTAAAGGGACAGCTACTGAAAGCTTTTTTATGAAGCAGTTCTGCTGGGAATTTTTCCTACCCCTTCTTAAACTCTTTTGAGATGAATGGCTTACTCAGATGCACTTGAAATGTGTTGTGTGCATACTTTATTATGGCCATCTGTCACAAGCAAGGTGTGTTTTTTATGCTGTGTTTTTAGTATGTCAATTAACAGTGTTCTATTAAGCTGTTTCAGAGCTGCCCAGGGAAGAGTGAAACACAAGGTGAAAATACAAAAATCTAATCAAGCCCCTGCTAGCTGGCTGCAACAGGTAGCAAGCACATAGTGGTTCCCTCGGGTGCCCTCAGGCAATAGGTCTGCTCTAAGGTTTGTGCACTGCAATATCTGTGCTGATGTGTAGCATGGCTCTGTATTTGCTAGTTTACAGGTGCCTCTTCCAAAGGCAAGTAGACCATGCAAGTACGTAGTAGTGTACTAGAAGCCATCCTAACCTACCACTGGGATGGCGACAGGGATTTGCACCTCAGAGCAAGGCTGTAAAACATAAATTAAGATGGGCACCTTTTCCATGTTGAATGTGTACCGATTTCATACCGTGATCCTTGCTTGTTTTTTTTTTTAACTGTCACAGCACAAAAATTAGTTAATGCATCTTTTTAGTACTGTTAATGTCACAACTGCACTTTAGTGAATGATTTTCAGAGAAATCAAATATTCATGAGTGGAATCAAATTTAAACCACCAAAGAAATACTAGCCAATGCCTGATACCATTAGTTACAATGATATGGGAGCATAAGAAGCTGCTTCTTAGCAACTTCAGAAGCTGAAATATTAATCATAAGACAATATTTAAAATTTTCTTACCAGCAGTTATGTTTGCAAACGTGTATTTTTCTTGCTGCATTTCTAAAACAGACAATTCTCAAAGATCCAGCAGTATTGTAAAATCACGAGGAAAAGCATTTATGAAGAGGAGGAAAGACGTATTTGTAAATTTCATGCATTTCCACCAGGAATTTCCCCCTCTTTTCTAGAACAACAGGAGGAACTTACTAGACGAGCAATAATTCCCTTTGATGCACCAGATTGTTTGACCTCTCTTTATGTCAGTACCAGTAAACACTAAAGATCCCTAGTAAACTTCATATTTGGTTTGTCTCTTCTAGGGTATGTTTTTAGTAACAGCTTAAAATGCAAGTTTATACTTTCTTTTGGACAAAGAAAACTACAAAATGACTGTTATCAGATACTGTGTTCATCGTAAGACACAAAAATGAAAGAAAATTGATAAGAATGCAAAGGTGATACTTGTATTTCTCAAGGTGATTTACAAAAAAAAAAAGCATTTTCCTCATTAGAGATGTATTTCTCTAAGGCCTGTGATGAAAGAAAGTTAAACACAGGGTAGCGTTTTGTGGAAAGCAAAAAGTAAGGAAACAGTAGAAATTTGAGCTGTTACTTATATATATTTCAAGAATTTTGAAGTGCTCCTGACAGATTTTTAAGATTCTTTTATACACATATTACTGATAATGTATTGCTCGATGCTTTAACACAGATGCAGTTCCACTTAATGTGCTGAAAGACTTGGGACCATCTAATATTGAGATAGAACTAAGGAGTTTGGCCCCTGAAGGTGGTGGCTCTGTGGAGGTGATGCTAAGCTTTTTGAGAATGATTGGGATGATGCTGAACAAGAAGTACAACTTCGAACTTGCTCAAGCATACCTTGCACTATATTTAAAGGTAAATATGTTTGTTTTTTTTAATTTGATTTTAGTCCTGTATAAAGTGGTCACTGTCCTTTAAAACAATGAAAAAGCTGTGCAAAATGTCTGCTTGAAAGAATTACCTTAAATGGTTTCTGTGTGGGATGGTTTACAAACGACCTGGAGACTGCATTGGATAATTTGACAGTTCATCAGGTCACAGTCAAGTAAACAGGTATAATGAAGAGGACTGTGCCAGACAGGTTTTATTCTAGTATTTGCTACTTAGGATTGTTTTATTATTTGTAACATAGCTAACTTGTTAATGGTTGTTTACTGGTAAGTTAAGATTTGTTTATATTTTAAATAATTCGATGCACGATGGCTTTGCATATCAGTGGGCTGCCTTTCTTCTGTTAACTGTTAAGCTCCATAGAACTAATAAAATTAATTGTAGATGTGTGGAAATCAGAAAGTTATTGTGATAAATGCAACAGCAGTTACTCATAAAGTTGTTCTGTAGAAGATCTAAACCTTTGTGATACTCTGCTCTATGGAATTGTGGGGAAGCAATTACTCTCAGTTTAGTAGGAGAGTTGTTATGAATGTTCAGACATATGTGTTATTGAACTGAGAATATCTCAGCAGAATTAGTGCAGGGATTGATTTTATGCCAGACAAATAGGAGTTTATTCTTGGCCTTTTTTTTTCCCTTGGGTTTAAATGGAATGCATGGGGCTTTCTCCACAAGAATGAGTAGTGCATATCAATAGGTCTGTAGAGTAAAACACTTCAGGATGAGGTAATAATGAATTTTTTGCCTATTTGTTACTAATCTGTTTACTATTAGTCTTGTTCCATGGACAGGATATAATTAATAGTCGAATACGTGGTAGAATTCATCTTTCTGTTCAGTTTTGTATTAAAGAAATTCAGTTAATGTATTAGGGACAGCTGTGGGCTTTACAAATGTACTCACAATGTGAACTATAGCAGAATACTATAAATTCACCCTGAGATTTGTGCACACCAATATCTTTTGCTGTGGATTGGACAGAAAACAGCTCTGAGCTTAGTGAGACTTCTAGATTTATGCTGCAGTTGGGAAAATAACTATTCCATCCATTAATATATACATAAAATATACTGGCTTTCTGCAGGATTGAAATACTGCTTCTCTTTTTGCTTTACCAAGATTGTTATTTATTGTATGAAGAAAGCTACTATTTCCCCCTATCAGTAGAATATTCCAACAGCATTCTTCTTGAATTATGCACCACCGCTAATTAAAATAGTAATTCTGGTTGATCTCATGGGCATCTGTTTCATCTTTCTAGCCTGAAAATTAATTTGTGATGCAGGTTTTGGAAAGAGTAGAAAGTTACTCTCTATGGAAGTGTATGATTAAGATAGATTCAGCAGCGGCAGTGCAACTAGTAAAGCAGTAAAATATTTAAGATATTTTGCTGCCTTAGCCACCTAATACATATATGGGTGGAAAATAGCTTCTGAAAGACTAGCAAAATAGAGTCAGGATTAAATGGAGGGAATTAAAAGGAGAAGTATCCTTCATTTACTCAGGACTTTCCTGAAAGCACAGTATTGGAGTTGAATGAAGAAGCTGATACTCTGAATGTGTGGATAGTCTGTATATGTTTCACTAACTGCTTTTTTTTATTATTATTCTTTTCAGTTACATCTTAAGATTGTCTCATCAGAGCCAAGCCTACTGGAAGAAGTATCCAGATTGTCAACTCAACTTGAGGAAACCTGGATTCATTTGCGAACTCTGTTCAATCAGAGTTTGTGTGTCTTAACATACATGAAAAGTGCTTTACTGTAAATTATTTAAGAGTTTTGACAACATAAAAATCCCCTCAGAAAAATAGTACAACTTGTTGCCAAAAATACTGGATTACAATAATTATACTGGGAATTTCAATGCTGTATTTTATTCATCTGTTTATGGCAAAGTATTTTAGAACGTGCATAACTGAATATTTTGTTCAGGAAAAATGTAGTATGTGCAGCTTAAATGTACGTGTTGCATTAGTTTCTGTTATCAATGAACAAACAGTTGGAAGACCGTAGATAATGGAAGGTAACTAGTTATGTTTTCATGACCAAAAATGTAAATGAGAAAGAAGAAATACAAACAAAAGTGGGAGTGTATTTTCTGTACAGGAGACCAAAACTTCTGTTGTGCTTAATAAATCCATATTGTCGATGCAAAAATAAAAAGCAACTGAATTGCTAACAAATTCTTAACGTTGGTTTAAATTTGCAAAGGAATATAAAAAATTGTATCCCTCTAAAATAAGAGTGCTTTTTGTATAAAGTTTGTAAAAGTTCTGATGTTGGCAAACTATATGTTCACTATTTTGCTTCAGACACTTATTTCTGACACCAGGGATTTCTAGCTGCACAGCAAATAATGGAAGTTCAAAAAAAATAAATAAACTGTTTTTTATAACAAGTTTCTTAGTATAATTTTGTATGCTCAATTTCTGATGAAATTAGGAGTATTTTATTAAGAGGATTGAAAATTACAGAAATAAAAGCTTAGACTTTTGAGAAATATTTTGAGTCAAATTTTATGAATTGGTATTTAGGTTTGAAATGATAGCATTTGGGAAGAGTTTGGGAACTTATGAGAGATATCTTGAACTTTGCTGTTCAAGAATACTGTCTACTGATAAAGACCCTTGCTGTTATTTCACATGCTTCACCTTAAAGGCATAGTATAACATGCAATTTTTATGAGTACTTGAAAGGTGGGCTCATTGCATTTGGCATGAACCCATCTGACTGAAATGATCATGTAGTTTTGTTCTTCTGTGTATGTGATTTTTTTTTTTTTATGCCATCTCATTTTGGGTCTTTAGTTATGCATCTTGGAACAAACTATCTGCAAACATGTAAATGTAGTGTGGAGTTGTTCTGCATTGTTCTGACGCTTCCTTAACTACGGTTACCACAAATTTCTCTTTTCAACATTTAATATGGAATTTTATAGACGGGCGTTTTAGCCAGTTAGGATTGAAAATACAGAGTCAGTGGGAGTGATGGACACCTGAGGTTTTTTATGAAGCACACTGCTAAAATTTCAAATCTTTCTTTGAAATATAGAATGATTAGTTTCTGATGGTGCACTTCTCAAGAACCTGTTACTCCCAATTTACTTGAATGGATCTGAGGCATACCCAAATCCCTCTAATTTCAAGGTAGTAAATAATGATAATCTGTGAACTTATAGGTGTGCCGCTGTAACTATTTGATTTAGGAGATATTAAAGAATATTTTTTTGAAGTTACTGATGTGAACCAAGGTATTAGAATATACAAAGGAGGCAGGATGTGCAGTAGTTAAATAACTTCCTCAGTGGCTGAAGGAACAGTGGAAAAAGAATTTTCCTCCTGTATAAGAGCAAAGCTCTGTCAAGTGTCAAGTCTCCAGCTGGAACAAGGAATAGATGCAAGCAGGTCCCGTATAAATGTGGTCGCTTTTCAAGCACATTACACTGGCTTTCAGCGGTCAGCTGTTTGGATACTTCCTGACCCAGCTGTATTTTAACAATTGTGTTTAATCGTCTGTGACAGACCTGTTTGTTCTCTGCGAGTTCATCTAATCTCTTTTAGAACCTAGTTATACTCCACAATATCCTGTTGTAATGGGACCTACAGTTTAATTAGATGCTATAGGAAAATAACTAAGTTCTGTTTGAATACTCCTGACCTGCTACCTTCTAATGTGTGTTCATCCTTGTTCTTGGCAGAACTAATGTGAGAAATACTAATGGTGCTCCAGTCCTTCACTGTCCTTCAGCCATAAAGCAGTTGTGAAATTATATTTCATTTTACTTCGTCTGCACATGTTCTTTTTCACTGACATACATTTGTTTCAGCACATGTTTAAAACTGTATGTACGAGATCTGTCTTCAAAACTTTTAAGATTTATAGGGAGAGGTAATGTGTGGGTTGGTTTGTTTTGTTTTCGTTGGACTACCTGAAGGAGTCAGGAAAACACATCTTTTTTTTTTTTTTTTTTTTTTTTTTTGCTAAACAGGCCATTCTTCTGAAAGCAGAACCAACAAACTAAGCACTGTTGACATAACATTTGCAGTGTGGATGATCTCATCAGATGTGTTAATATTTATGTCATACACAGATGAGTTTTAAGTCTACCTTAAACACTTCAGACATTTCTTACAGAAAATACTCTTGCTGTTTGTGATACCCCACACACTTTTTTCATTTTTCCTTTTTTTCAACATCCCTGCTCATCACTGCTATTTCAGCAGTGTTTGACTATTCTTGTATAAGCTGATTCTAGTGTCCGATTTCACCATGGTTTGCTTTTTAAGTTTCTTATGATGGCTGTTTCACCCAGCAACTCCTGCGTGCAGCAACCTTGTCAAGGTAGATCTCAGAAGTAACTCCAATTGTGATTTAAAGACTCTTTAGTACTCGTGGATGTGTTGACACCAGACATCAGTTACTTAGACCTTGTTCCCTGAACTTGTTGCTGGACTCGAACTCCAAACAGTGAAGATTACTTTTCTCTGAGTCATAATCTTCACTTTTCTTTTTTCAAAACCTCGACTTTCTTTTTTCTTTCAAGTAAAAATAGAGGTATTATGAGGAAAAATGTGGAAATGTGAAAATTAATTGATGTATATGTTAACACGTTCTGTGACCAGCACAGACACTGACTTGAAGCATTTGAGCACGGTGTATTTCAAATTTATTAACTCTTCCTTCTTCAAAAGAAATATTAGGAAAGGCCACAAGTCTGCAGATTATTGTAACACAAGCGGTGGTGTCCCAAAGTGTGGAAAATGCTAACTTGCTTTCTGTGAAGGAGAAAAGCCCAAGTATTTGTTGGCATCTTGAAATCTGGTGGTGAGCAGTGCTGAAAGTTTAGCACTGATTAAAGATCATCAGAATGTAAGTAGCTTTTTCTTCTGAACATTGACATCAGCAGATGTTTTCTGATCACCATGTGTTAGCCCATCAGCCTTTTAAGCACAATGCCTCTTGTAAAAATAGTGCTTGTTAAGAATTATCTGATGAAATATGATTGTTTTTAAAATTCATTTCACTTTTTAGACATGAGGAATCCAATCAGAGCCTTACCTTATGTCAGTACAAGGAGTCTGCTTGACTTTTTTAATGGATTTGCAGTGTGTGTTAGAGGAGAATAAAATGCAATCTTTATGTGTCCTTACTATCTGTGCTTTTCTGTTTGTGAAGCAGTGATAAATTATGGAAAAAGAAATGAAGGTCAGAATGCTAAGGTCCTTTTTACTGGGGTTTTACGTGCTTCCCAGGAGGTTGAGTGAGCTCCCTGATGCTGTGGTGTGCATCATGCAGCTTTGCTTGTTAGTGCCAGTCACTGGAAGATTTCTCCCCACTGATGTGTGCACTGTTAGTTCACAGAAGTTTGGCTAAGTGGAGGTGCTTACTATTGCTCTTACTATCCAGTGGGTTAGAGGGCTGATGAGCTGACTCCGTAAGACATATAGGATGGTAGTGTTAAGAAACGTGGAGGATCTGGGGAACTATAGGTTGAACAAACTTACCTTACTCTCCAAAATAATCATGAAGCAAGTGCCGAGTGTGTTTTTGGAGTCCAGATACACCGAGGACAAGATGATGAAGAACAGACAGAGGAGATTCACAAGGTAGAATCATGCCTGACCAAGCTGCTTGCTTTCTAGTATCAAATGGCTGGTTAGATGTACAAAGGAAGAGCTGTGAATTTAATAATAAAATTCAATGCAAGTAGAACAGCATTTAATTGCTTAGTATTCTATTATTAAATATTGCAAAATGGTAGCATTCTAGTCAATAGGCATGCTGTCACTGCAGGTTTTGCAAATTTTGGTACTTGCTCATTGCATTCTGTGCCATGTACCTTTTATACTGTTAGCTGGCTTATGGGTGATAGAGGTTCTGCAGCAGAGTTGAATTGCTTGTGCAGTAACTCAGTATAATCAGCATTAAAGAAATTAATTTAGTCATGTTCTAATTATGCCTCAAGCATTATTTTGTTAAATATCCCATAGCAAAGAAGCTCAATAAATTAAGATGCAGCAATGTTGGATAATGCCACTGGCACTTGTGAGATCTGCAATGAGGCATAGAAGAATTTGACTACCAAACGAGTTGAAAGTATTTCAAGTGAACGTCTGATAAGAAAAATGCTTCTAAAATTTGTGGGTGCCACAATACATTTGACAGTTTTACGGGCCCTTGCCTTTTATCCCTGGAGGTTTCATTCTCATGAATTACCACCAGATTATATCCCCTGCTGCAACTGCAGACCTTTCTTTGTTTTGTAATAGCCTCTACAGTCTGAGTGTTTTATGGCCGTTTGGTACCACAGCTTCTGCTTGGGCAAAGACCTGTTTCCCAGTGTACGAGGTCTGGGAATGACATACCTTGAGAGATCCAGCAACCCTATTACAAGGGGCTGTAAAAGCGTGTAGCCAGCTGAGAAAGGGGCAAAGTGCTGCCGTCTTAGGGAAAAAAGTCGTGTGTGGGAATGTATTTCCAGAGCAAGACTCTACCGCTTAGGCTTGGAGACAGCAGGAATCTCAAATTAGTAAAAGGAACAGACTGAGATCTCTTTTCAGGAACTGGGGGCTTACTGCAATTAAATCTCACTCCTTAGCAAGGAAAAAGCCCAAGGCACTGTAAAGAACCTGAGTAGTCAGAAGTGAGAACCATCATCAGCCCTCAGGAGGGGGGACGGACCCCTGGTACAGTGGTACTTGGTCCAGTAGAGGCTGTCCTTTCCAGTGATTCCCTTTGCAGCATCTCCCAGTCATCTGACAGCAGCAGAGCAGATAACCTAAATACCATTCCAGAAGGAGTTATGACAAAAAAACTGCTTGGAAGAGAGGAACACAGAGGCTGTTCTTTCTACACTGAAGAAACAGGAGAGAGTGAAGGAAATGGTAAATCCTGCAGGGAAGCAAGGATCTGTTTGTTGAAAGCACGTGGTGGGTAGAGATGGGCATCCGTATTTTCCTCCTATGGCTAATAGTGGGAGTATTGTGGTCAAGCTGTAGGAGCCCTCCTTTCCTCACTGCCAGGTGGCTGCCAGATTTTGTCTTGAGGCCTTGCATAGCTTGCATGGGCAAGTGTGCTAGGACAGGGCCCCAAAACCCAGAAGTGGCTCCAGGTGGCTAATGTTAAACACTGGGGATATCGCCTGCGTGACAATACTTCTTTGTTACACGCATGTTGCAAGATGCCTCATGGCTGTCCTTTGTGGACCAGGCAGGAATGATTTTCTGTTAAAGAGGGGAGCCAAAGCTGGAATTCAGTCTCTCACAGAACTGTAGCTGTTTTTATACAAATTGGGATTTGTGCCTGTGTACTGTGGTTGCCAATGTCAAGATCTTAAAAGGTGACATGAAAAAAATGATGTAGTGGGCAATTATAAAGATATTTTTGAAGCATTTACTTCATAAAAATTATGTGGAAAATTTTGAAAATGTACTGTTTTTTTTGCCAACAGAAACCTATTGGTGAGATACACTAAATGTTTCCAAGGGTTGTCAAGACCTGAACAGATTGTCTCTACAAAACAGAAGTGTAATGTAAGATGTCAGTTTTATTTTTTTCAATAGAATATCCATCTTTATGAGACTGGAAAATTTGTTAACCTACTTTATAAATATTTGATTTATGCTAATCTACCTTATAAAGAAAGACAATATTGAATAGTTGATATGAAAAAAAAAATGAATGAAATGTTAAAAATAAAACAATGAAGTAACTTTTGACTCTAAGGAATGAAGATACTGAAAATATTGCATGCCAATGAAAACTTAACCATGTTAGATTCTCTGTTGTTTGGTTTAGGCATATGAGAGTATTTCTTAACTGAACACAGTGCCTGATAGCTTGAGAATAAATCTTGGTTACATCATACATGTATAAGACTACTTCAATGAGACTGTGGAGGTGCTGTTCTGTCACATTCCCTTTGCTTTCATATTTAAAGGAGTTTTCAAACAGAACCGTAGCACAGCTCTAACACACATTTTCTCAGCTTATGTATTGACTTGATGGCCTTGTTTGTTGATATACAACTTAACCATGGGTAAGCTCCTAGGTTAGCCTGGACAGCCTTATGTGAAACAAAGGATTTGGAAAATTATCTGATTTCACATGTTGCAATGACTTTGGCCATCAGATGAAAATGATTCAGAGAAGATGAATCTAACTTCATTTGAAATAATTAGTGAGAGCTGTGGGCTGCTATTTTGGAATTGGAGTGTCTATGTTCATCTGAGCACTGGCAGTAGAGAAGGAAACAAACCCAAACCTTGCTGGTAGAGTATTCTGGGTTCAACCAACAAGGAAGTGTTCACACCAGCCCATCTGTAGTACAGCTTTATTTGTTACTCCAGATTTACTGGTTTCCTGATTTAATTACTGTTTGAAATACCTGTTACAGACCTAAAAGAATTGCTGTGATCTGGGTAAATATTAAGCTGTTTTAGCCCTATGCTTTTAATAACTGACAGCCCTAAGTGAACTGTCAATTAAGATAACAGATTCCTGTTCATCAGAGATGAATACAGCGAATCTGTAACCACTGACAAGAGAAAGGCTTCTATGCTACAATACAGCCTTCTGTAAAAAAAAAAAAACAGGAAGGAAAATTACTTTTTCATAATAAGCTTTTTGTCTTTCATAAGTACGAAACTAACTAGGTATTAGAAATAAGTACAAGTAGCAAAAGATAAATGAAAACAGATTTAAAATCTAATAAACTATAACATTTTGTGCCTAAGAGAATTGGAGAATTGCATAATTTTCCTTCATTTCTCTTCCAATCAGCTTTTTTTTTCTTTTTTTTTTCTTTTTTTCTTTTTTTTTTTTTCCCCAAAAGACACTGTCAAAATCATCTTCTTTCTTAGCCATACTGTCATGCTCCCCAAATCAGAAAAACAAATGTTTCCTAGCATTGACGGATGAAATTTCAAATTATTTCTTCCAATCCTGTCTCAGTTTTGGTGAAGTTGTTCTCACAGTATTTACACTAC